AACAAAGGGCCGTCGACAAAGACCCTGATACCAGTGAAGCTCCAATCCCCTCAACAGACTCGTCCTTGCTCAGCTTTTCATCCTCAATCACAAACTCCTCCAACCTCTACAAAAGAACTGAACATAAGAATTGAAAAGGAATAACTAAAAACACAAGAAAAACGAGCAAAAACAGTTCCAAAAACAAGAAACTTCCCAAGAATTGAAAAAGAATGAATAAAACACAAGAAAAAGAATCAAAACCCAAGAAACAAATAAACACGTTCAACATGACAATCCATACGATTAACAGCTGAAAATCAAACACGTTCATAAGAAACGCATTGCAAAAGAAAAGAAGATTGACAGGAAATAGGAATACATACCAATGCTATTTCGTCAAAGTTAATATATATATATATATATATATATGTCTGTATATATATTAACGTTCTACATGATTTAGTACACTAGGGCCATATGATAATCTAACTGCAAGGGAGATCCATGGTTGAATAAAGGGAGTGACGATATTATATTGTATCTAAATTTTTACTTTTGAGGTATTGTTAGACGGAAATGACTCTAATTCTCTTATTTTAACTTGTATCTCTCTCCAAATTTACAAACTAATAAAATTTGAAAATTCACAAATCAATTTGTAAATTTGCGAAATGTAAACTACATGTATTGCTGGAGTAACCTTTATATTTAATTTATGTCAAATGTATAATATATATATATTTTTTATTAAATATACATTAAATTTTATTTGAAATTGCAAATTATGTATATGCATTATCAAATTTTAATTCGCAAACCTTAAATTTTTTTAAAGCTATACATTTCTAATATTTTGGTGGTTGAGGAGTGTTATTCACTGTGCGACTCACATTGGTTGATTTTGTAATTTTGAAAAATCAGTTATACACGTTTATATATTTTTGGAACTATAAAATTTTAACTCTTAGAACCAAATTACCCTTTTAAATTATTTCATTTATTTTCTATAATGAATATACCTAATAACCTTCTTTCTTTTGTACATATATTCAACTTTATTATTATTATTTTTTCTTTTCTGGATATATATATAGCAACACTTCATTATTTACTCAAATTTTTTGTTGGGTTCAATTGTCTTGTGTATATATATATATATATATATATATATATATATATATATGTTCATTTTTTTTATTGGGTTTTATGTAATTTAATTGAAATAATATTATGAGATTGAGTTTTAATTACAGTAATATTATAAAATTTGAGTTTTGGTTAATATGTAAAAATTTTCAATTTATTCACAACATGGTTAACTATTATATACATATATATATATGTGAACAAAGAAAAGTAAAGAATTGAGGGGAAAAAAAATTGAGAGAAACAGTGAGAAACCATTGTCGGCAAGCATAAATAAAATGTACAAGTACAATAGAATTAATTACAATTTTTATAATTAATTTTTCAACCAATTAAAGATGGAACTGTGTCACTTGTGTGACTGTGAATAATACTCTCTTTGGTGGTTAAATTAGAAAAAAAAAAAAAAAAAAAAAAAAAAAAAAAAAAAAAAAAAAAACAATTAATGAATGTGATTAAATTAATAAGTTGATTAATCATGTTTATTGTTAATTGAAAGAGTTTTAGAATTAATACCGGAGATTCGGCTTATAACTTCGCATTAAATCTGGATCCAGTTACATGTGTTCTTTCTACTAGAGCAAGATGTATACGTTGTTTATGTCTATGTTTGGATTTACCACTGTTCCAAGGATTTTATGATCATATGGAGTAAACTCAAGGTTCTTCTACCTTGCTCAATTTTCAATAAACCAATCACATTTCAACGAGCCTCGTACTGGCGTAGCAAGGAATTTTCTTCGAGTAATCTTCAATAGCAATAATAATATATATATATATTTATAAAATTTGAACCAAACAATATATATAAAAATTAAAATATTGATTCATTATATTTCTATCCCGTCAATTAACTATACTTAAAAAAAAATCTTTTTCTATGAATTAAGAATAAAATATAAAAAAATAATAATACAGTTACTTAAGGTCCTAATATATCACATATGTAAAATAAAAAAAAAAAAAAAAAAAAAAAAAAAAAAATTCATGATAAGAGTGAATCTATGATTTCATTGATTTGGGCTGCAAATAAAAACAAATTATAACTCTTATTAGAGAATAATAATTAGTAACACAATTACACAAACTAAATTTTGAAAGAAGAACAAGTCCTAAAATAATTTTGTTAGTAATAACTAATAATTTTTTTAATTAAAGTTATAATATCAAATAATAATCAAATTATATATATACAGTATATATCAAATTTTAGAGGGAGAAATTACACAAATATTTCCATATAAAATTTTAAAAAAATAAAAGTTAAGTGGGGGCAGTTGTCCCAACTTGTCCCTTTATGACTACGCAGACAACATAGGTTTCACAAGTTTTTGGGAATCCTATTCTGTTCCAAATTTTAATAAACCTACTAATATATAAACATTACAAAAGGAAAATGTTAAAGTATATAATTTATACAAATTTGATTTTAAATAAAATAACTCATATGACTTATTGTGATCTCATAAGTGCCCCACTAAAATAATTTTTTTTTTTACTATTCTACCCACTAATGATCCATTTTAAAATTATATACTTACAAAATTTTGAATTTCCCCTCAACATTTTTCGTTAAAGGTTGCTCCCTCTCCCTCTCGTAGAAAAGTTATGGTTCTGTTCCTGGTATATGCGACAAATTAGGATTTTTCCGGGACTTTTTTTTTTGGGGACTTTGGCTTATTTAAAATTGTGAGATTTAATAATATTAATTCATATCTTAAATTATTTATTATTTTGTTTCTTAAAAAAAAAAAAAAAAGTCAATTATTCTAATTTTTTACTTTAAAGGAAGCGTGTTAAAATTGGGTTAATTTCTATAATACTATAAATCATTTAGTTTTAACTTTATTTTACGGAAAAAAAAACCGTATATCCGTGTAAAATTTTCGAGTGGGACTAATGTTATACCCACTCAAGTCCCAAGTCACTTTGTTTATGAAAATACACCCTTGGGACATGTTTGGTACGCGTTTTGTTAGTGAATTGATTTTGCCATTATTTGATGTAAAAAGGCAATGGGAAAAGGTGAAAGAGAGGGGTAAGTAGAAATGTCTTCTTAAACATCAAACAACTTTTAGTGAGACAAGTCAAAGTTAAATGGGATAATAATGTCTTTTTATAAGTAAAAAAATGGTCTTACACAACTGAAAATTAATTTTGAGAATGTGAGTGAAAAACACATTAAAAATTTGTAATGTGAGTGATAATAATTTTCAAAAAAAATTTCAATGTGATAATTGACCAAACTTAAATTGTAATGTGAGTGATAATAATTTTTTTAAAAAATTTCAATGTGATAATTGACCAAACTTAAAAGGTGTCAATAAAATTAACTCAATTTATTAACAACCACCACAGTTATTTATCGAAGAAAAAAAAAAAAAAAAAAATCAAGTTTATATTGGTGGTCTCCAAAACATAATGGACATACATCAATTTGTTTGCATAAAAATTGAACACCATGTGGTCCATGTCCAAATATAGATGTACAAAGTGGCTTGTCATGTAGCGAAACATATATATTAGAGTGAAATGTGGGGGTTAAAAGTCTCTCTCAGTTTAGTGCGACCCAATAAGTTGTGCTCACTCTGCTAGCTGTATCATCCCATTCTCAATCCTTTTCCGGAGGATCCATTGAAAATAATGTATTGGTAAACTTTCTGGAATGTACAATGCAAACTTCAATTGAAATGAACAGTCACATGACATCACGTGAATGGATGACTAAGCAAATAGTGGGCCACATGAGTCGGAACTATTTAACTGTGACATGCACCCAAAAAAATTCTCCAAACTATTAGCCATTTGCAACAAACTCCCTCAAATAAAAATAATAATAAAAAAAAAAAAACCCAAATTATGAATTTGTTGTAATTAAAGACAATCTGGCAAGAGACTTGATCGGAAAAATGAAAAAACAAAAGTACCCTAACAAAACAGAGGAGCCACAACGGGTCTATGAAAAAAAACAAAGAAAAAAGAAGAGGAAAAATCCAAAATTTTTAGAATTAAACCCACAAATTTACCCAAAATGGAATGAATAACTGCTTCTAGACTTTGTGGCCCGTATATGAGTTTTTGGAATTTTTGTTTTTCGTTTTTCAATGCATGTGTGTCCTTTTAATTAGGACGTAACCACGTCACTACCACGTCACTTCAACAATAATTCAAGATACGAATATTAAATTGCATTCATGATGCTAATTCTTTTTGAAGAGTTAAGACTAATTACAAAACTATAACATTTATTTTGTTTTGACTTTCAACTATATTAATTTGGGAAATTCAAACAAGAATGATGGACTAATAAGGATATAATACTTGGTACCTTAATCTCATTAAAAAATAACAAATATTTACAGCTAATTTAGTTATAATTTTTACTCCTAATTTACTTTTATACACTCTTTGTACCACATTAAGTGTTTCATCCTTGATATTATAACTTTTTAACATCTTTAGTATTATATAACATTTTAAGACTACACAGATGCAAAGCAATTATAAATTTTCAGATAGAACAACTAACCCACAAAGGAAAGAGTAACTAATATGGGATTGATATGAAAAATATATAGAAAGGGATTAAAGAAATAATTTTTGGGGTTACCTGGATCCTTGTTTCGAGGTAAAAAAAAACAAAATAAAAAGAAGAAAGAGAAAACAAATAAGGAAGAAAATCAGAGCAGTAATATGGAAATTACATATATATTTTAAAGCAGAAAATTTCTTTCTTATTTGTTTTAAAGCAGTAAACCATCACTTCACTTCCACCAACTTCTATACCATCGCTCCCTTAATTCCATCACTCCCAACTCTGCTGTTGCCTTCCACCACCGCCGTCAGTGTCGCCATCGCCTTCCACCACCAACATGGCCAGTAGTTTACTTTGTTTCATTTTGTTTCTTGCCATTCCCATTTACATTTCAGGGTATAAAACTACATTTGTGGTGTCAAAGGATGGGAGTGGAGACTATCGTAGCATCTCAAAAGCCGTTTCTGCAATACCTAATTCAGCTTCGGCCACATACATCATTCACATCAAGCGGGGAATTTACAACGAAGCAGTAGATGTGGGTATGTATAAGAACAGTGTCGTGTTCTTGGGAGATGGAATTGACAACACCATAATACAGTTCAATAAGAGTACTTCCACTGGTTTTGGGACAGACGAATCGGCCACTGTCAGTATGTGATCACTATCCCATCTCTCTTTCTTTATAAATGTGTGCGCTATTGATCCACGAATCAGATATTAAGCTGATAATAACATCTACCACACTATTTTTTTTTTTGGTATTTTTTTTTTTGGGTAACTCGGGGTACTCGGGAATGCACGAATCCTTAGGGGCCCAGCCACCAAGAACACCAATCGGGGACTCGAACCCCAGACCTAAGGCTAATGAAGCGCCTCATGACATGTGTATATTGTGTACATGTAGATATAGAAGCGTGACGTGTGTCTATTAATGTGTACATGCAGATATAGAAGCACAACATTTTGTTGCAAAAGACATCAGCTTTGTGAATTCCGCCGGAGTCAATGCCGGACAGGCAGTTGCTGTGAGAAGTGTAGGCTTAAATCATGCATTCTATAGGTGTAGTTTCAAAGGATACCAGGACACTTTGTTTATGATTTCCGGCAAGAAATTTTTCTACAAATGCAACATCTTTGGAACCCTAGACTTCATCTTTGGTGACGCAGCCATCATGTTCCAAAATTGCAACATATACGGGAGAAATCCAAAGAATGAAGGAATGCCCATTATTGTTACAGCTGAGTCAAGGGGTATAGCAAATAGTAACACCGGAATAGTGTTTCAGAATTGCACCATTACGAAGGCACCGGATTTTGGACTATCGAATTCTTCTTTCAGAGCATTTCTTGGACGGCCGTGGCGAGAGTATTCTAGGGTAGTGGTGATGGAGTCTTTCTTAGGAGATATAGTAAATCCTGCTGGTTGGTTACCGTGGAATACCAGATTGGATCATTTGAGCTACGTTGAATATCACAATAGGGGTCCCGGAGCTAAAACTAGCGGCCGGATAAAATGGCCAGGTTTTCATATTGTGACCAACCCTAGGCAAATGCTCTATTTCACTGCTAAAAATTTCATTGATGCAAATGACTGGTTACGTTCGACTCGTATACCTTTCATTCCTGGACTCATTGGAGATAAATTGGATTAGATGTTAGTTTTATCACCCAACAAGGGGAAGGAGGGATGAAGGGTAGGCCAGGGGTTAGGCCGCCTGAGAAAAACTTTTTCAATACATTTAATATTTCGTTTTCGGTTGATTAATGTATTCTCTCACATAAATAAAAGTGGTTTTATTTTAATTAGTCATATTACTGTATATCAGTATCTAATCAATTAGTGACATCGTCACTAATACAGGCACAATTAAAATTTTCTCCATGCCCTAGCTCCCAAATTTTGTCAAACCTCCTGGTATGTATTTATGATTGTTAATAGTAATTTTGCATTGAGAAATTACATTTGGACCCCAATTTTTTTAAAAAAATCTTATTTATGGTACATATTTTTGGTTATTAAAGGTAATTTGTAATAGATATTACTATAGTAACCATTGCCAAAATTTATTAGTTCTCAATTTATATCAATTTTTAAACCGTGTTCTTAATTTTTAATTTTATATTACTAATTTGACCCTCCCAAATTTTTATTTCTGGCTCTGACCCTAGTGTGGTGATTTTTCGACACTCAGTGCACTTATCGCCTTCCTTAAGCTGACACTTATGGCCTTCCTTAAGCTGAATCGTTTAAGGGGCAAAATAAAAGTTAATGTGTACTGTAATCAGATATGGGTCCCACTCAATTGACACTTAGCTAGATTCAGTTAGATAAATAGGTTAGTATTTGTTTTGCTATTTCTTGAATAATTTTAAACTTTGCAATAATTCATTTTAGGATTAATTACCGTGACACCTCTTTAAATTTGGTCAAATATCACATTGAAATATCTTTCAAAAATAATTATTATTCACATTATAAGCATTTAGTCCATTTTTCACTCACAGCCCCACAAATTACTTTTTAGTTGTGTCAGACCACTTTTTATTTGTAAAAAGACTTTGTCGCCCTTTAACTTTGTCAAAATTTCCTTTAATCTAAAGAATTATTTTAAAACCCAAAATACCAAGCCTTTTTCCCAAACAAAATAATGATCCAATTTAATTACACACATTGGGAAAAAAAAAATTACACACATATTCATATATATATATATATATATATATATATGAACATATATGGAAGATGACAGTTGAATTATGTGGTCACATCATGGTTGACAATACCAATGACCGTGAGGGCATACTGCATCAATTTCTATTCAAAACTTAATTGAAAATCCAATTCAAGTTCATCCAATTAAAAATCTCTCTCTAACCAGGACTATAGAGAGAAAACATTAGCGTATATTTAAGTTGTTGCAGTTAAGTAGTTAGACCTTGGGTTGGGCCAACCGGTCCGCCTTCCGGAGTGCATCGGTCCTCTCGTTCCTTCTGTCTGCTATGCGCTCCTGGCACGACCAGCTTCTTAGAGGGACTATGGCCTTCCAGGCCACGGAAGTTTGAGGCAATTACAGGTCTGTGATGCCTTTAGATGTTCTGGGCCGCACGCATGCTACACTGATGTATTCAACGAGTCTATAGCCTTGGCATGTTGTCAGAAAAATTGTCACTGTTTCAAGCTTCCTTGCCATGTCCCTTCGCTACCTCCACTCCCATCACCGCCTCACTACATTTTCTTCCTCTGCCACTTGCACATTAGGTACAGGCCACCCCTTTAATGGCGGAGATCATACCCGGTCAAAACTCTTGGGATAAAGATGATAATCATCTTCTCACTTAAGTTTCTATGCTACTATATCCTTTACAATCTATATTACATATACTTATATATTATGATTGATTACTGTGTTCTTGTATATAAGAATGGAAGAGATTTTCAATCAGTGTATACATTAAAAAAGCTTATTAGCCTTTTTCATTTCTGTGGATTTATATGTGTATATTGTATATATATATTATATAGGGGTGGAGCCAAAAAATAAATTCAGGGGCACAGTGTAGATAAAAATAAATAAATAAATAAATAAAAACAAATCAATGAAAGATTACAAATAAGAAAAGAAATTAATGTAAAATAATATGCAAATAAAATGAAAAAAAAAAAATTTGAAAGGAAAATGAGAAAACTTTGAAAGAAAAGAATTATAATTTGATTTTAAAACGGAAAATTTGACTTTTTCCTTAAGGAAATTAAAAGACTTTAAAGAGCAAAAGAGAAAAAAGAAAGAAAGAAAAAATCAAGAGAAAAATTTAAAAAATAAAAATTTTAGGGGGACATTATATAGATTTTCTCACATATATATATATATGTAAAATTACAACAAAAAAAATACTATATATATATTATACTTGGTGGAGCCAAGGCAGGGGTAGATACTACAAATTAGTTATCATTTGTTTTTCATGGGTAGAAGTTCAGTGTGTGTGAGGGAGTGAGAAGGTCAATTTAGACCTTTCAAGTTTCTAATATATTAGGATTAATATATAATAAAGAAATGAGGGTACAAATATTCACATCTTTTTAGCGATGTTAGAGACCGAAAAATAATTTGGAGTGCGAGTGATAGTTGTTTTTAAAAAGTGTTTTAATGTGATATTTGCCCAAACTTGAAGGGGGTGTCACTTAAATTAACCCTTCATTTTATTTCTGATACTTATTTTTCTGTTGAATAAATTATTTTATTTGTCGTAAAAAAAAAAAAAAACACAAAAAAAAGGTAAAAAAATTCATTAGTTATGGTATTATGTAAAAAGGGATAACGCAATAGGAAAAAGAAAGGAGTGGCTTCCCAAAAAATAACTAAAAAAAAAAAGAGATTGTACAACTATACAAGAAGAAAATACGGATTAAAAAAATAAAAATAAAAATGAAAATGAAAAAGAGACCGTGCAACCCATAGGCTAGAAAACAAACAAAACCGTTAACAAACAATTTAGGGATAACTTCAAAGTCCAAACTGAAGCATGCAAGAGGGCAAGTTGAATAATGCAACAACAAATAGTTGATTTTTCTTTTATTTTATTTTTTTATATATTTTTTTGGTGCGATTTCAATAAATAACAAGAATTTTTAGTCAATAATAAAGTCTTTCTTCTCGGAATTTCCATGTTTTTTCAAACAAGTTTTAAAGTTTGACTTGCCAATGATTGAACCACATGCTGCACATGCACCATACACATAACTAGCAAATATGAATAATGAAGGTGTGATTCGAAAATGAGTACGGCAGTTTTTATAATTACCTTAATAGATAGAGTTTTTGTCACGTCAAGCCTACTGTATAGACTAGCAAAAACATATTTTATATCATTTTCCTTGAAAATATATTGTTGACAAAATTTTAGGAGTAAAAGCAAACACAGTAGTTTAGTCAAAAAAGCATGTTTATTAATAAATTTGGCATAATAATAATAATAATAGTATATGATTTGATGATCATGACTCGGACAGGCTCTTTACAATCATCATTGCATCAAGAGATAAGTCACCGGTGAGAGTATTCATCTGGTTCAAGGCTTTTATGCAGTGTTCGTCGCAGGTTTCAGAAGCAATAGAAGCATTGACAGTGAATCTTCCCGCGTCTCCATATCTCCCCTGATCAAAATTTGACAAACCTTCATCGGTTATGCCAAAATAAACTTCGTGATATAAATCTCTACAGTCCTCGAGGTCTTGCTTGTAACCAGGGTCAGTTGCAGTACGAAGCAGTTGGCTGGCGTATAATGAAATATCAAGGCACTTTGTTGCTGTGATTTTCATGGCAATCCTCACAAGGCTGGTTTTGTTACTGGCAGTGATGCTTCGAGGGTCTGATGATAAAACTGAAACGCAAACATCGGATTCTTAAGTGGTTTTGCAAACAACTCTTATTAGAGACATGTCAGCTGAGACGAAGGATTGACTGAAAAGAAAAAAAGAAACCATCAAGAGAGAGATACAGCTCTCATGACTCACCATTTCTACTTCCCTTCTTCTCTACCAAGGTCGAGAACGAAAGATAAGAGAAGGAAAGATAAATACGTAATATTTTGACAATCATACATGTATTTATAGCCCTGCCTTTCCATATTACTTGTCATTTTTAAATTAATTATCTATTTTCTTAAAAAGTTATAATAACAAAAGATATGGTGTGGACTACCATATTATTATGTTACTATATATCCCTGTCGCATTATATGATTTGATGATCATGACTTGGACAAGCTCTTTACAATTATCGTTGCATCAATAGGGAAGTCACCGATGAGAGTATTCATCTGGTTTAAGGCTTTTATGCCGTGTTCGTCGCAGGTTTCAGAAGTAATAGAAGCATCTGCAGTGTCTCTCCCCACGTCTCCATATATCCCCTAATCAAAATTTGGTAAACCGTCATCTGTTATGTAAAACTCAACTTGGTCATAAATATCTCTACAGTCCTCCAGGTCTTGCTTGTAACCAGGGTCAGTTGCGTTATGAAGCAGTTGGCTGGCGTATAATGAAATGTCATGGCACTTTGCTGCTGTTATTTGCATGGCAATCTTCATTAGGCTGGTTTTTTTACTGGCAGTAATGCTTCGAGGGTCTAATGATAAAACTGAAACGCAAACATCAGAATACAGGGTGGTTTTGCAAACGGCTCTTATTAGAGACATGTCAACTGAGACGAAGGATTGACTGAAAAGAAAAAGAGAAACCATCAGGAGAGAGATACAGCTCTCATGACTCGCCATTTCGGCTTCTCTTCTTTTCTACCGAGGTCGAGAAGGGAAGATGAGTACGTAATATTTTGATAATCATACATGTTTTTATAGCCCTGCCTTTCCATATTAATTGTCGTTTTTATATTAATTATATATTTTCTTAAAAAGTTATAAAAATAAAAGATATGGTTTGGACTACCATATATATTATTATGTTATTACCTCTATCCCATTATAATGGTCCAATTCTATACTTCACACTTTTTAAGATAATAAATTTTATTATACTTCATTAGATTGGCAAAAGATACATGTCCCAATCTGCCCTTTCCTTTTTAAAGGTTCTGTTTTTGAATCAATCCAAAAATGAATGACTTTCAAGAGACATTTAATGGGGTCCACCTATTTT